ACTGAATGGCCAATGTAATTATGTATGAAAATAAATTATTCTGTATCGTTATTATCTGCTATTCATTCTTTTATACACCATATTGGATTTTAATTCAGGAACCTAATGCTTTTAGGTTAATTTAATCCTATGCTTTCTTCCTCCCCCCCCCCTTCCTTTTTCTACAAGTGAATTTTTGTGCTCATGAAAGGACTTAGCTTAACTTTAGAAAACCAAGTCCTGCCTTTATCAATAGAGGTAGCATAGTCCTGACAGTTCCAATGCATGCACCGTCATTCTGCTCTGCTGCTGTGCCTGAAAACCGTTGTGGAAAGACTTACTCCAAAGAAAATGAGTACTCTGGTCCTTGGTCTTTCTGCACAAAGCAAAAAGGGTGCCAAACAGTCAGTTGGTTTTATGATATAACGTTTATTAGGGTCTAAATTAAGACTACCTTGCCCTTTGACATAGGTGATAACTGTTTTAGATGGCAACCAACTTATTCAGAGTTGCAGCAGTACTTTATGGGTAGTTTGAGCTAACCATTTTCCTTAATTCAGGAAAATTGAAAGTAGATGCCAGAAAAGAAGACTTAATCCATTCAGCTGCATTCTTTGCATTCTGCTGGACTGCTTGAGACATCATTCCCACTAACATTTTTCTTAATCTATTCTTGAATAGTGTTTAATTGACAAGTTGCTCAAAAATTTTTTCCTACTTTTCTTCCCCGTCATTGCTCAATGACCTACAAACATTTGTGTCTTCAGAGGGTAGCTGAGTTAGTCTGTACAGGAAAAAAAACAACCAATGGTCTGGTAACACTTTATACACTAACAAAACATGTAGATGGTATCATGAGCTTTAAAGTGCTACCAGACCATTGGTTGTTTTTTTCAACTAGAGTGTATGAATAATTCCCTTCCTTCACTTATAATCTTTGAAGTTGGTCACAAGTATTTCCATATCTTTTTTTTAAAAACTATATATATGTAGCTCCATTTGTTTCTTCTTACATTTATTCCATACTAGTTGGACTTACCCGGCGTTGCCTGAGAAACCGGAGGAACAACATTTGAAAAAACAAGCTGGTCCTGACAGCCTCCAGCCACACTGCAGCTGCCAGTGCATTTATAATCTTTGAAGTTGGTCACAAGTATTTCCATATCTTTTTTTTAAAAACTATATATATGTAGCTCCATTTGTTTCTTCTTACATTTATTCCATACTAGTTGGACTTACCCGGCGTTGCCTGAGAAACCGGAGGAACAACATTTGAAAAAACAAGCTGGTCCTGACAGCCTCCAGCCACACTGCAGCTGCCAGTGCATGACATCTGGCCATTATGGCAGACCCCCATGTTTTTCTACTGCTGCATAAATCAAAATCTCTGACTCAAAAAAGAGGCATTGCAAAGTTGAGAATCAGAGTTATTTGACTTGGCAAACTTTGATACAAAAGTCACAATAGAAACTATGTCTTGTCATGGGACTGGGAGCCATTAAAAGTACAGTGGAAGGGAGAGCCTCCAAATCACCATGGCTTGTTTCTCCACCATTGCTGGAAGCATATGGAGGCCCCTCTTCAATAGTGCAATGTTTTGCTTCCTATCAGATGGTATTTTTGCTAATTATCCTTGTAGAAGCTCATGTTTTTTTGGTAGGGAAGTAGGGGATAGGCATGCTGGGTCTGCAAATTATCATCCAAGGTGAGTATAGGGATGCCTCAATCAATGGGACTGGCCCTACTGAATCTGAGAGATTTCAAGGTGACACCTCAAACTCTTCTCCCATTTTTTTTGATGAAACTATGAGTCAAGTACCTGAGCCTGCTGGCACCTCTATAGTCCCTCCTCCAGCACCACCCCCTTGACCAGCTGCCCCTCCCATGGACTGCATCTCTCACTCACCCAGGATCATCCAGAATCAAACCCAGGACCAGTGCTCAGATTTGAGGGATCTCCCACTGCCTTGGATTAATTTCTCACCCACCCAGCATCATCCAGTGCTGCCCCTTGGGCCAGTGCCCCTCAAAGGAGAACCCCCCACCCCGCCATGGGCTTCATTTCTCACTCACTCCCTGAAGGATTGTCCAGCCCCACTTCCCTAATCCCCCTAAAATCCTGTCCTCCCCCCCACTCATCCCCAACAGTCCCCCGGCCCCAGCCTGTCCCCCAACGATCCAGCCCCCACAATCCTGCCCTACTCCCCACTCGCCCCCAATGGTCCAGCCCCCCTGGACCAGTCCCCCCCATTCATTCCCTCCACACACACCCTGCTTTCACATCCAGGTTCCCGATAACCCTCTTTTTGAACATTTTTTCAAAGTGGCAGCTGAGCGGTAACACCAGCTCCGCCCCCTCTGCCTAGAGCCAGCCCCACTATAGCGAACCCCGGCAGCAACCCGCCCGCCCATTGGTCGGCCGCTGGGCCCTGAGCCAATCACAGTATTGAAGAGGGGCCTCCATATGCTTCCAGCAATGGTGGGGAAGCCACTTCTCCTCGCACTGCCAAGCTCCGTGCAGCCCCGTGGAGAAGCCTCGGTCTCTCATCTCTTCCCTCCCACAGTACCATAAAACCTTCTCCTGGAGGAAAGGTTATCCCATGGAAAGTTTGGCTGCGGAAGGGCTTATAGTGTCCAAGTTATTAGAGCACAAACATATAAACATTCTCCTTTGCATACTAGATTTGGTTCCCTTCTTTGTATTTTCCCTAGTTTTTCTATTGCCCACAATATTACGGTCATAGTGGCACTATAGCTATATAATGATTAACAGACAAGATCAGAGCTGGCCCTAGGCATAAGCAGACTAAGCGATTGCTTATGGCCCTAAGCAGCTCAAAGAGGTCCCCCACTCAGTTTTTATGATGACTTTGTGTTGGGGAGGAATATTCCTTCTTAGGGCCTCCAATTACCTAGCAGAACCTCAAGGATTATGTTTACTGGTGGTGTGAGGTCTAAAGGAAGTGAGCTGGATAAATGCTGCTCTTTCTGTACCGGTGCCGCTTCCTTCTCTCATACCGATCCATAACGCAGTCTCTATATCTCTCTAGCTTTCACCTTGCTCCTACACTCAAATAGGGCTCCCCATCTTGGTAAGGCAAGTTTTTGCTGCCCTAGAATACCAAATTATAGTCAGAGTCGCATATGTGTCTCCAGGAAGAATGGTCAAACCTTCATCTACTTATGCATGGCAGAGGATATGGGCTAACAGTAGGACAGAGCAGGACAGTGTGTGAAGAGAAGAAGCGTGATTGATTGAAAAACCGGCTGAAACAATTTTGTGCAAACTGTCCACTGTCTCCCCAGGTAGATCATGAAATTCTCACACTCCTTGCCCTATGCATCAACCATGATTTGCAGATCTCACATATCCACATTATCCAGACCCTGAAATTTTGTTTATTCTGGGGCAAAGAGAGCAATAAGAAGAAGTTACTCACCTTCGTGCAGTAACGATGGTTCTTTGAGGTGTGTCCCCGTGGGTGCTCCACGTCTGGTGTCAGGCTTGTTCCGGCGCCGCAAATCGGAACTTTCCAGAGCTGTATTCAGCCGGACCGCGAGTGCGGATTTGCACCTTTCATCTGCCGTGCGTGGTCCAGCGCCCGCCAGTTCCTCTCACCGCCTATCTGCAAGACTGAAAAGACGATATTCCAAAGCAGGGAGGAGGGCGGGTCGTGGAGCACCCACTGGGACACACCTCGAAGAACCATCGTTACTGCACGAAGGTGAGTAACTTCTTCTTCGGGCAGTCCCTGTGGGTGCTCCACGTCTCGTGACTTAGAAGCAGTAATACCAATTAGACATGGGCTTCGAAATCACGATTCTGATGACCAGGCAGTACTGCTAGAGCTACCGCCGAATCAGAGGCGAGATGCTGCACGATTGCGTAATGCTTTGAAAAGGTGGTGCTAGAAAACCAGGTCCGGCAAATGTCACGTAAAGGGACTCCTTTCACGAAGGCCACTGACGCAGCAACTGCTCATGTCGAATGAGCCCTAAGGAGCGATAAGAGCGGCTTTTTACGAATAGTATAACAAGTCGTGATACAAGAGACAACGAGTTTGGAAATACGTTGGGCCAATAGGGGTTGACCCTTGGAAGGCCCTGATGTGGAAACAATGAGGCGATCTGTCTTGCGAAGAGTGTGGGTTCTATCTATATAGAATGCCAAGGCTCGATGGACATCCAGAGTATGTACGAGAGCATCACGGTGCGAAGCATGAGGTTTTGGATAGAAACATGGTAAAACGATTGGCTCATTTATATGAAATTCTGTGCAGACTTTAGGCAGAAAGGCTGGATGGGATCTTAATATTACCGATTCCTTATTAAAGACTGTATAGGGGGGCGTAGACATCAATGCAGCTAACTCGCTCACCCTACGTGCCGATGTTACTGCAAGGAGGAAGAGTACTTTCATTGTAAGCATTGGCATAGGTACCGTAGCCAGTGGTTCAAACGGTGGCCTAGTTAGGACATCCAGAACCAGGTCAAGACTCCATGTAGGTGGCGGAGGCCTACGTGGTGGGTTAAGGTTAGCCAGGCCTTTAAGAAATCTAGTCATCATGGGATGGGAGAAAACTGACCAGCCTTCGACGGGCTAGTGAAAAGCAGTAATCGCTGCCACATGGACTTTAAGTGATGACATGGAGAGTCCAGTCACCTGTAGATGGAGTACATTGTCCAGTAAAATATGTAGTGGTGAAATAACGGGATTTAGGTGCTTAGGAGCGCACCATCGAGCGAATCTGGACCACTTGGACAGGTTTTTCTGGTGGAGTCCTTTCTGCTGTGTAGCAGGACGCGCTTCACCTGGTCTGAGTAAAGATTCTCGGATGTGCTGAACCATCTATCATCCACGCTGTTAGGTGCAGAGTGTCCAGCTTTGGATGAATAAGGGAGCCTTTCTGTTGTGTCAGCAAGTCTGGCAGGTAAGGAAATCAGTACGGTGCTTGGACAGAAAACTGTAGGAGAGTTGAGTACCATGGCTGTCTGGGCCACGCTGGGGCTATGAGTATCACTCATGCCTTGTCCATCACCATCTTCGAATACTCTGGGAATGAGCACAACAAGGGGAAATGCATACAGAAGTGATGTCCCCCAGTGGAGGAGAAATGCATTTCCTCTGCTACCTCCAAAATAGCATCATCTATTGGGAGGGCAATCCTTTGCTGCTGTTTAGGGTGTAAGTTATCTGCTTTTTTGTTGGTAGGCGGTATTGATGTTGGGGTTTGCCAGATTTCCTCTGCTACCTCCAAAATAGCATCATCTATTGGGAGGGCAATCCTTCGCTGCTGTTTAGGGTGTAAGTTCTTGAACAGCTTATGTTGTTTCACCTGGTCCTCGATAAGTTGTACCTCCTGAGATTGCGCGACTCGTTTAAAGAGATCTTGAAATTCCTTCAGGTTGTCGGGAGGTGTCATCTCCACCAGAGTTACCGGTTCATCTCTGGCCGGCACAGATGAGCAGGCACCAGGAGAAAAGTCTGGGTCAGTTTCTGAGAGTTGCCCTTCCTCAAGGTCTGACATTTGAGATCTATGGAGCGGAGAACGTGGAGGTAGCGTATCCCGGAGCGGAGACTGCTTCCGAAGCTCGGAATGTACGGAGTGTGGGCTGAACGACTGACAGGAGGTAAGGCGATCTGTGGTGAGATCGAGAGTGCCTGTGATGAGATGATTCAGCGTAATAAGGTCCATGATAGTGCAAATAACGTCGGTCAGAGCCTGCAGGTGATGGCCGTCTGGGAGACCTAACACTGCTATGCTTGTCATAAGAAGCGCCCCGCGGTGAACGGATCGGTGAGTGCGAACATCTTGACGGAGAACAAGATCTAGAGCATCTGTGGAGTGAGCAGCTGCGGTCCCTATAATAATGATGGCGAGATGACACGCTTCGTCCATGGTATTCCTTCTGAGCCCTTGTATGGTATGTGGACATAGAAGGGTGAGGGGACGGTTCAGGAGAAAAAACCGGGGAGGGAGAAAGAGAGACCTCCTGGATATTTGATATAGATGCTGCTGAACGCTGCTCTGAGCATGCAGAGTGATCTGCTGCCTGCAATGAAGGAGGCACCTGGGCAGCAGCATGTTCCTCTGGTGCCGGTGCTGCGGACAGCTCCTTGTGAGGAGGAGTGACTGCAGGGATCCCCCAGGCGGATGCGGAAGTCCTCGGTGCTGTTGTAACTGGCCCTTTAAGAGGCTCTGCTGAAGGCATCGGTGCTGAGGGCTGTCGGCACCGGGAGGAGCAGGCCGGCTTTTTTGAAGTAGGTGCACGGGTCAATCTGGAGCCCGAGGTGCCCGGCTTATCACCTGCTCTGACCTGCGATTGTGGAGCCATTGGCAGGGAACGAGCAGGAGAAGCTCTCTTCCTTTCAGGGGACATCACAGCTGGGGAAGGAGCTCTCCGTTTTTCTGGCGTGGGGTCCGAGGCAGACGAGCCTGTTACGTTTGCAGGCATGAGAGCCTTATTAAAGAAGACCTCTTTCAGACGTCGCTCCCGCTACTTGCGGGCTCTCATCGTCAGGCTAGCACAGTGTGTGCACTTTTGGGGGATATGAGCCTCCCCCAGGCAGCGGACACAAGCAGAGTGCCCGTCAGAGACCGGCATTGGCTCCCCGCACGTAGAACATTTTTTAAACCCAGGGGAGCCCGGCATTTTAGCACCGCAGAGGAGTGTGCGTTCGCGGCTCCTATGTGCTGCCGCTTGAATCTGCCGGTTTTTTTTTTAAACTACTAAGTTAAACCGCAACAGTAATGAAACAAAACAGTGTAAACTCAAACTGAGAGGAAACGTCTCTCTTCCCTCCGTCTGTTAGATGTTTCAGGTTCTCTCTATTTTTTTTTTAAACAAAGAGCCCACGACTAAGGGCTAAACAAGAAACGGGATAATCAAAGAAATAATAATTAAATGGTTCTAAACTTCCCCTCAGGTAGCTGCCTGAGGAGACAGGAGGAGCTCCGTGTGCGACCCAAGGCGGATGAGAGGAAACTGACGGGCGCTGGACTGCACGCGGCAGATGAAAGGTGTGAAACCGGCTCGTGCGCGCGGTCCAGCTGAATACAGCTCTGGAAAACTCCGATTTGCGGCGCCGGGACCAGCCTGACACCAGACGTGGAGCACCCATGGGGACTACCCAAAGAACCACCCACAGCCACATAGCCTCCTCGAAGCAAAGCATTATTTATCTGGAACAAAAGTGTTTCAGAGAAAACAACTTCAAAGCAATAGCAGCTGACATGCATATCTAGCTTTTCCTTCAGGTTTACTATTCCATGGCTCTGGGATAACCCAAATTATTAGACACTCTCCATACAGTTTCTCTTTGTTTCAGAGAGATACCTGTCTGAGTCTGTAATAGAAAAAACTTAAAAAAACAACAAATAGTCTAACAGCACCTTATGAGCTTTTGTAGGGACAACCCTCTACTTCTTTGTGTCCCTGAAAGCTCACGATACCATCTACATTTGTTGTTAGTCTCTAAGGAACTGCAGGACTATTCCTTTTCTTTTTAAATATCTCTTTGTGTTAGCCTATCTCCCTAGGCAGTTTCTGACAAGTGACCTCCCCACCCCACTCCACTCCTTCCACCTCTGAGAAGGCTTTTAACAATTGAGCATTCTTTCCATTTCCAGATGCCTAGCTTTGCCAAAATCACTCTTGTAATTTATTAGAGTGAAGACAGCATTGCTGAAGCTAATCATTTTTATGATTCTATAAGCATATTCTTCAATATTCTTATCTGAAAAGCTATTTTGTCACCTTATACACACAACCAATTGAATTCAGTCAATATACGTATCAAATAAACATTCTACTATTCCCAATATTCAGCAGCTTGACCTTATTGACCAGGTTACAGACCACACTCATGAAACGATTACATAGCACAATTCATAACATTATTATATGTTTGCTCCATATCTGACACACAGACTTTCTAGGAAAGAAAGAACAATGAAGCAACATGAATTTCAGCCACAAGCAAACATTTTGGGGGAAGTTCTGAGATACTGATCAAAGGAATTTGGAATGGATCCTCAACTTAACTTAAAGCACCCACTACTGTGCCATTAGAAAATTATGTAGCCAGGCTGTGAGACAGAGGATTCAATAAAAGGTAAAATGAATGATCCACTGGTTGTTCAACAACTTTAGTTAGTGGGAGGATTTAATATATTAATTTTCACCAGTGACACAAGAATAATACAATATTTCTACATCTACTTCTTACACCTATCACAGATGAAAGAAAAGCCAACATTAGCAAACAAACAAAATAAATAAATAATCTGGCAGACATTAAGATTGCCTACTCTGACCAAGTTTACTGCAGACTTGCACTACATTGTATTTATAAGCTTTCAGAGCACAGACAACAGAAAACAACAAATTAATTACTCAGGCATGCTCATATTATTTCTTTTAACTGAGAGACCAGAAATATTACTCAGATGGAAGGACAATTTTGAAAATGTAGCACAGATTGGAAACAACATGTACACCAAATATTTCACACTTTTTTTTAGATCCGGTATATGACAAATGATATACAATAATACATCAAAATTATATTCCATCACTTTTACTACTACTGGATAGGAGAGAGTGGCACAGTGTGCCTTATTAACTCAGCTGCACGGAGACTACGCTGAGAATAAAATGACAATGAAAGGTTTTGCATAGATAGTTCAGAGTGGAATTGGACAGGGAAGATTAGGGGTGTTTGAAGTCTACAGGAAAAATCCTGCCCTATGTGGCAGCCAAGGACAGGATGTGAAAAAAATGGCAATATTTCTGGCTACTTCTTCCTTTGAGATAAAATGCATTTTTGGACTCACATAGTCCCAAGAGTTATATATTGCATATGGATGTAAACTTAAGTCCCAAGATGTTTATCTTCATGGATCTAACTACAGGAACACACATAATTGGAGGACTAGATGATAGGCTCACTTTGCTCTTTTACAGCGTGGTAAGATGTGCTACCCACCAAAACCACTCTTCCAAACCCTCTGCATGGATCTGACTCATAAGAGCTCAGTTTTGCCTTGTGTGTAAAGAAGTAATTTTAAACAATCTGATTTATTAAAATACCCCTTTTGCTTTAAAACTGGAAAATTACAAAAAAGCAATACAGGTTGCCATACACTTTAGTAAGAGGTAGATTCAAAGTAGGATCAATTTATATATTTCATCTGGTTGAAAAAATTGTGTGTGTAATAGTATGTGTATTTATTCCACTCTTCCTTGAGTCACTTCAAAGCCAATACCTGTAGGGACAACAATCATTAGGGCCTTCCCTGCAGAATTTTAGTAAATCAACCAAATTAAACTGTTTTAATAATAAATTGAATTTTACTCTCCAAAAGAGTTAGAGCTTCTAGTCCAATGAGCATGAACCCAAACATGGCCCTTCTAGCAGCCATATTCACTAGTCCACTAGTATAAGAAGTTACCATGACTTTAAGGTCAATTACAACAAATAATTTAATGATACCAATGGGAACAGTGAGAACTCTTGTTCTAGTTTTTCTGCAGTCTACAATTATCTGAAGATAGTTACCACATTTAAAATTGTCATACACGGATATGACTGCTGAGATGTCACACCAGAATTGGAAGACCAACTTTCCATAAAAGCTCTTGAAAGCCTTTGCAAAACTCTTTTCTCCTCCTTAGTTTGAACTCTAGGATTCTGCCCCCCCCATATCTACTAGAAAATGTCATACTAACCCTGATTTCTTGGTGTTCGTTTCCTGCGATCCCTGAAGGCTTCCCCTGACTGTAGGGCCTCAAGCAGATTATCCATCACTCCTGTCTCATCACCCTCTGTGAATAGGAGAAAAAGTACAATTAATCTCAGCACAATTAAAGTGAGACTGCAGGAGAAAAAAAGCAAAACTGATCTCAGATTTCTATAAAATCTTTACATTAAATACATACAGTAGACTTCTGATAATCCGGAACCTATGGGACCTAGGTGGTGCCGGATTATCAGATATGCCAGACCATCAGGAGGTACTATTAGCTGGTTATATATATATATAAAAGTTTTTTTTAAGCCTTTTTTTACCCTTTTTGCTCAGTTCAGCTGCTGCCGCTGTTACCGTGTGACTCATTTTTTGCTGAAGCTCACTCACTAGGATCTTGCCATTTTGAAGCCGGACTATCGGGATTGCCGGACTATTGGATGCCGGACTATTGGAGTTTTACTGTATAAAGTTTAACATAATGAATGCTATCATTTTCATACAGACCTGACAAGTTTGTTTATTATAAGTATTACTTATAATAACCCCACTATTCTTTCAATTCAAAGACCTTGTCTTGTGTATTATTGATAACATGTTCAGTATGCAAATATAAAACTGCTGATCGGTGACTGCGACTTTACAGTTAAGCAACTTATAAGATATTCCTGAGCAAGAATCTAGTACTCTATTTAATGCAATAAATGCACACGGAGAGGTTTGATAAAATACCTTGGGGTTAAATACCAATTGTGTTAATATTGTGAAGATTGAAAATGATCTGCTTCTCAGAGATCTATAGAGCAAACACATTTCTTCCCCATTTATTTATTTATTTTTGTTCAGTTTATGTTGAATGTGCCCACTGATTTCACATGGGTTCTACTTGCTCTTTGAAGCAGATAGCTTTGAAAACAAATTTTAAAAAATGCCTTTATTGCTAGACATATATCTGAACTCAGTACGCGTAATCTTTCTTGCTCCCCCATTTGTTCGTATTCAGGGAGGCTAGCCATTAGGCCTTAAATTGCCTGGCTCCCTGGAGCATTTTGGGAGGTTGGTTAAATATCATTAAATTCTTTTTTCTATTATTCATTTGGGTGTTTAACTTTCTTCATGTTTCAATTTGTTCTGTTATTAAGGGCTCACGGTGGCATGTAATAATACAAGAAATACAGGTCAAGGATTGCCATAAGTTGTAACTGCATCAATGAACCAGTCTTTGTTCTGTTCATGTGTATATGTTAAGATCTAAAACTCAAAAGCTGACTAGATTCAGTGAACAGGTAGAGTAATGCGATGTTGAATTTTTATGAGCATCTATGGGACTTTTTGCTGTCAACTGAATATTAAGTATCTCACTGGACTGTAGGAAGACAATTAGTTTACATGAAAGATTTGTCTTTGTAAATATTTCTAGTTGTGAACCATGTAGAAATTACAGGATGCTGAAAGACATTCAGAAATACATTCAGGTCTGTTACCCCCACTCCTCATTCATGTTATAGCACTCTTTCACAACATATAATTCTGCACTTGAGTTCACTACTACATGAAGATTAATTGGGCCACATTTAGACATGAAATGAGAACATGCCAATCCGAAAACACTCCTTTGTTCATATATTTGTAGGTGACAAACAGTTTAAGTTAAATGGTAAATTGAAATTGTAAATCAATATAACAGAAAACATTTAACAATCAGAAGGTGTGTTATGTGCGGCAGGAAGCAGAGGACAGTATGACCAGAAAAGCAACCAACAACAGAAGCCTCTAAAATAGCAGGCAAGATTCTGATCTCATTTTACCCTTGTGAATCTTTACCTCTTGTTGTCAGTGGAACTACTCCTTGTGCCATGTAGGTCAGAATCTCATTGCAAGTATTCGTGGAGAGGAAGTGGTGGTTTTTGATTTCATGATTTTGTTAGTTGTTTTTCCTATATTGGAATCTCTCCTGGATGGAATCTCTCCTAGGAGCTCAGTTTACAGGGAACACTATCACTCATAAATCTGGTCCAATAGATACATTGAGTTAGTTTCCCAAGGCTGAAATCTGTGTCTTCTGGTTGGCAGAGCAAGTAAGTTTGGGTTTCTGAATGATCACATCAGTATTGCAGGTAGGAACTTATTACTCAATCAATAATATGCAATTAAAAGTTATCAAATGCACAGCTTTACGTACTGTTCTGACAAAGACAGGTAGGCGATATGATAGAAGTACACACCTAGGTCATGATGACTCATCATTTAACCTATATATGAAACATGGCATCAATTATTACAATGAAATAAATTCTGAATTCGCAGGTATTGCTTGGTATTAGCAGAATGAATTATTTGGAGCTTTCAGAAACTCAGCTCAATGGTCCAACAGCCAAATCACCAGAGCTGCTGAACTACTACTTATTGATTTACTTGCCAAATGAAGAATATTGTAGCCTTAAAATCAGTGGAGTTAAGTAATACTAACAGACAAGTCCATTTTCTCTGAAAAAGAAGTCTGTAGAAAAGATTATGACAGCCATCCATAGAGAGATGAAGAGAGATCTCTGTAACCATGAAGGAAGAAAGTGTTTTGGAATGAGTCTTCATTGATTTGGTCCTATCCTTCCAATCAAATAAATAAGATAGCTATAGATATAGTTTTGAATGTGGAATACATTATTAGATTAATATGAACAGTGTAAATTACAGGAATCCAAAGAGTAACCCTTAGTGTCCATATATATTCATGAAGCCCAGATTTATTTTTGACAAGTACAGGCCCTGATTCAGGAAATTACCTAAGTAGATCACTAACTTTAAGGTCATGAGTGAACCCATTCTTTTCAACATGTGGAAAATAAGGCATATGTGTAAACAACTTCCTGTATCATGTTCATTAAAATTTCACAGCATATTACAGAAGCAAGCACATATATAGATGGAAGAACTGCAAAGCAACCAAGCCACAGTTTGAGAGGATATTGAATACTGGAGCAAAGATATTGTGGAAGCACATAACCTATGACCAGAATGAAAAAGAAAGAATGAGGTTGGACAGGAGTGTGACGGAGAACAGAGACAGTAGGAATAAAAGAGATTCATCCAATTGACTCAACCACACAACTGATATCACAAAGAGTTTTTAAGCAGTCCAACACAAAACTGGTAAAAAATCTATTGTGAATGTAGGCTATGCTCAAGAAAACGGCAGTTTTTATCTGAATAGCTAAACTTGCCTCATAAGAACTGTTCCAGAGGGTAGAACTAACCCAAACATTCAGGAAGGTTTGATATTTGTGCATGATAAAAGGATTGGGTGGGAGAAGACACCAATGAGTTAGCAAACCAATTGCTCTCACCAATTTATGGTGTAGCATACATTATAGAAAGCAGAGGGTGCATTCTTGAACTTTTCCACTGAGTCTTTTTCTAATGCTATCTTCAACAAATGTGAACATACAACAGTAATACACCTTCTTAAATAGGGGGCATAGCTGCTTGATCATTTGCAATCAACAAATCATATATATTTAAGAAATAGATGGTGTGTGTGAGGGGTGATCTTATATTTTCTTGATATAACTGAATCTGAAACATTACAATGAATACATTAAACTGTTGTCCAACTAACTAGCAACCTACAGCTACAGTTAATATAATTTGTATGTCAGAGAGTAGCACATCAGATGAAAACAAAATTAAAAGGAAGCATGCCTTCCTCTGGGGCTATGTCAACATTGGAGGCTACTTGTGCAAGAACATCTTGTGCAAGGGTTCTTGGGCAAGAAGTCTTGCGCAAGAAAACGTCCACACTGCCATCTGCGCACTGTGCTTTTGCACAAGCTCTGATGGTCATTTTAGCCATAGGGCTTTCTTGCGCAAGAAATCCCTGCCGAGCGTCCACACTGCCCTTTTGCGCAAGAGCACCTGCGAACGAGGGCTTACACCTGATAAAAAAGAGCGTAACTCTTGTGCAAGGAGCCCTCTCTTACCACGCCGCACTGTAAATTTCCTTGCGTAAGAGCGGATGGGCAGTGTGGACGCTCTGCAGATTCTTGCACAAGAACAGCCGTACTTGTGCAAGAAGCCACGAGTGTAGACATAGCTGAATGTTTAAATATAGAGAGTAATCTTTAGCACCCTAATGCCAGATAATCTGTCCTCACAAAGAATTTTGTTCCTTATATTTTGCTCCTTAACAATGGTAGCTGGAAATGAAAGGACAACACCGTGGTATGTTTTGTAATGTTTAAATTCAAAATTTAATGTCTTTTTAATTGTGCTTTTATATTGATTAAATCAACAATGAACAGATTGCTCTACATATAACTACATAAAGCTTTCTTTTTTAAATGTTAAAATCAAGAGAAATACAATTTAAGAACTAAATGTTTTAAACTCTTATATAAACGTTTTGTTACCAATAGGGGGTTCTCCTCCTTGGTATGTGTAACAACCAAACTACTGTTTGAATATTTTAAATATATTCCTAATGTGGCATTTTCCAAGTCCACAGCTATGTAACACAGCAGGTGTAAAGATGCACAACATTCTGTTCCGTCACATGCACGATAGTCGTTTGTAAGTTATCACAGTTTGGATAAAAACAGCACAAGAAATTAATGTAGATGAGAAGTTGTACTCATCAAGCACACCAGGATTCTAAACTAACATGAATAACAATATGAATTTGACATTTAAGCCAGCTCTGAGACAGAGCAAAGGGATTAAAGTATTTTCTTTTTTTCTAACAATTTATTGAAACAGGTGGCACTTGTATTATATTGTGGATATTTCTGAAGTATTTGTAGAAGCTAGGATTCTACAGTTTAGAAAAGCAATATATTTTAGCATAGCCCATATACTGCTAAATTAACCTAGATGAATATGTTGTACAGGTGGAAATCACAAGCCTTATAAAGTTGAGGAAGATAAAGAATATGTTTATTTAGCACATTTTCCACACAGCAACCATAATCCTTCACACATTTGTGAATCTATTCCCTCTCTTTTCAATGGAAATCTATCTTATCAAATATTGATTTCCAGTTCTCATCAAAAAGTGAGGAAACATGGAGATGAAGAATAAGATGT